GGATTTGTGTGCGAACAGGGCATCTCAAGACCTCCAGTCGCCATACCAAGTGGTCCGACCCAAATAAATGTTGAGCCACGTTTGGAGGATGCTTTGTCTCCGTGATCGACGGCTGATGAGATAACATTATGAGCCTGGTTCGTATCTGAGGCGGTAAGACTTGAGACATCTGACTTAATTGACCTGTGTGCTTGAGGAGCAAGGCAATGGCTCTCACGCCTCTGTTGCTCTAATCCAGAAGCATCAGAGCTGACGGAAGGGCCGCTACCACTGAAAGTGTCCCAAGTAGTGCCACCGGTTGCAGGCAATGAAGGGGATTGACGAGAATGAGCCGATATAACAGCGAGTGGAGGAAATGGTGGTGCAAGTTGGAAGGTTTGTCCGCGGCCTTCAGCACGCCCAGTGCGCCAATCAAGCAACAGGGCGTCTGCTGGAAGACCAGAAAGGTGAAAGACCTGCTCCACAAGACCGAGTAAGCCTAAGTGGCTGGCCAGTGCTGTCCGGAAAAGCCAAAAGCTCTGGGCGTCTGCCAGCTGGCGTTGAGCGGCTCTACGAAGGCTCGCAAGTTGAAGAACTGGAGTTCCGGTCCATGGTGGACAGAGAGGATACGGTGAAGCAAATAGTGGTTCAATTGGGTCAGGAACACAAGAATTGGGTGGTCCAGGAGTTTTAGGCTTCTGCTTTAGGGAAGTCTCAGCTGAAGTTATTGTGGGGAATGAAGCTAGGCCGTCGGATTGGCAAGAAAGCTGGCCTTCAGCGACAGTTGAATTGGAGTGGTTGGTATCGCGAATGTTCAAGTTGGGCGTCAAAGGCGATAAGGCAGCTGGAGCTGAGCAAGTCGTGTTACTTCTCCTCTTCGGTGATATAAGATCAAAGCTAGTTGATGAGTCGTGATAAAAAAAAGTGAGTTCAAATTAACAATAAAAGTCGAGGAGTTTTGCATATAATTAGTGCTAAAAGCAGAATCAGTGTAAAAGTACTAGTCACATGATAATTTAGAAAAAAGTGTAGGAAAAAATCAACCGAAGAGTGATTTATTTTTCAAGGATGATTGCTAACGAGATAAGCGTGGGTTTCACTTGCTTAGGTAATGAATATTATTAAGTCCCAACAACGAAAATATTAACATCAAGTCTCTAATCCTGGCCAAAAGTAGATAAGCATGTAAACAATTAGTGTTGGTTTGACTTCGTTTTCACAACTTGAACGGAGCG